AAACCATGGGGGTAAGTCTGTTCTACGCAGTGACGGTGGACACCATCCTCAGCAACAAAAAGGTCAGAGGGCATCAATAAAAACACAATTATAAAACACAGTTCTAATCCTACATGAAGGTTTTCACTGACAACATTCCCTCTTACTGAACATGTTCACATTTAGAGCATTGTTGAGAAACAGGCGTTGTCAATCGAAACGACAGGTGAGAGCTTTGTCATTCACTTGATACCCTGTGCATGTATACAGCATGCATGAATTGATTAAATGGATTCTATGTCTTGAATGCATTGTAAGTTGCTTTGGATAGAAGCATCTGCTAAATGCATAAATGCGAATGTATGTAGAGTAAGTCCATGCAGAGTAGTGATGGGTGCTTTCCAAACACTGCTTCGTGATGATTCCAGACCTTTGCCAATCATTTGTTTTAAGCCAGTGATTCAGAGCGTGTATTAAACTGCCGTGATTGTCAGTAAGCAAGGCTTCGTTACTTTGTTACTGTTTCCAAATTTTAGTGGTTCTCTGTGAACCCATGAACCAGTGTCCATATGGTTTTTACCTGATCTCGAATCAGTTTTATAAATTTGTAGACATTTTAATGACACGTTTGTATGAAAAAAACTGAAGAGTCGTAGTTAATAGTCTCTTATTGGCCTGATTAAGCAAGCTCTCTATAAAACAAACAAAACAAATGAACAAAGGAACTCATGTTCAAGTCAGTTTAGTCGGGGGGAGTATCTGTACTATACTTGAGTTTTTATATTTCAGCCAACTTTTACTTTTACTTCATTTAATTTCCTAATTAAAATGTATACTTTTACTCCGATACATTTCCCCGAAGTGAAATTAGCTTATTGCTAAAAAATACTGCTATATTCACTGAGTGTAAATAGTATATATTTTTGCACTCCGCAGCTGCATTTTTATTTATTTATTTTTTTTAACTACGTGCGTCGCCTCGCCAAATTCATTCTTGTACAGGTGCTGCGGCACATGAAGTGTTTCTGTTGGTTCATGAAAACGTCTCTGAAACGTCTGTATTTTACAAATATTGCATTTTATTCACTCAATCTGTGATAAAGTATGCAAGTACTGTCCAAACATCTCTACGAGAAGCAGAAAGTGTCCGATAGTGATGTGTCGTTCGCGAACGAGCCGA